AAGTTTCAAATAATAAATAAATAAGATGTATGGTTCCAAAGGAGGAGTAATGCCTAAAGTCAGCAATAATAGACTTTCAGAAGTTAAGGCAAATTAGAGGCTTTAAAAGTTTAAGAATGCAGAGGAAATTATAGTAACATTCTGTAATAGGACTGAAATTCATAAATATGCAAAGGTAGGTGTTATCAAGGTAAGGAACGAAGAGCATAGAGGCATAAATTTGTTGCACAACATTCATATGAGGGTATAATGAAAAGAAAGGTAAAAATGCTCAGATCCTGAAAGACTTTGAAAGACAGGCTAATGAGATTTTATTTTCTTCTTGGGTCACAGGGTGCCAAAAGTGTTATTGATATTTTCTGTGATATGATGGAACTGAGTTTATGAAGAAAGACTTGTCAGCAGCAAGAAAGGAAATTGGAGGACGGTGAAAGAATAAATACACAGAAACGACACCAATGACAAACAAGAGAGGAAACTTTGCAATGTTGTAGGTATTTGGATACAGTCATAAGTGATAATAAAACATTTAAAGATGTTTATAAAGGGAGTTTGCATATCTCAATTCTGTAAGTTAAGAAAAAAATTAACATGGTAGAACCTTGAAAAATTATGGAGCAATCCTGATCTCCCCTTTTAAATCTAAGCACAAATACTGTAATGATTCAAATAAACGATTTAATTACTCTCTATTTGATTGCCTATTGAAATTCTTATTCTCTCTTTCAGTTGTAGAATGGATTTCAAGAAAACATCTGCCCACAATCACAACAGTTCTTTCACTGTTGATTAGCAGTGGCCAGATTTCACTGGCTGGATTGGTTTTTGTCTTCTGAGAATGGCACATGCTTCAGTTCATCACCTCTGTGCCATATTTTGCCTTTTTTTCTGCGGTATGTTTAATTTTACTTTATAGTTATGTTAGTTTATGGACCCTAGCAACTGAAGTTTTGTCACGTTGTCCTAGTTATCTGTTACTTTGTAGCAAACTTAGTGAGTAAAAGAATAATGATTTTTTTTCTCCCTCATTTCTGTAGTTTGACTCAGCTGGGCATTTCTTCATTGTGATGCAGTTAGATGATGGATGGGCTGCACCTGGCTCAGTATACTGAAAGATAAACTGTCACATGAGCTACCATGAAAACATAATCTTTAAGCATATAAGACCTTCCTTTGGCTGACATAATAGAAAACCCCCTTGTAAAAGGTAAAAAAAAAAAAAAAGCTAATTTTTAAACTAATCTTGTAGAGACTAGTATATTAATAACATGCCATATATATCAAAATGAAATTGATAATAGAGTCGAATGAGATGATCAAATGGAAGTATTTTGAAATAAACAAAGATTAGGAGAAGAAATCGTATTAGATTTTCTGTGTGAGTAGAAAAGTGAGGAGACTTAAGAGGTATGTCCAGTAAAACACTTTTGCATTCTTCGGATGAATCTACATTGCCCAAATTATGTAACACTAGATTTGTTTTATATCATTATTTATATATATATATTCTAATTATCTAGTGGGTTCTCCAACTTTTCATGTGTTTATTTCTTCCTGTTATGTTTTTTTATTTGTTTATTATATATCAAATTTCTCACACTGATTTTTAAGTCCTGGTGCGCTAACTCCACACCTGTATCAAACCTGATGCTGTGTATGTGTTTGGATTTCTTTTCCTGTTCAGTCATGTGCACCTGTTTCTTCAACATGCCTAGTACATTTTAAAAATCAAATTATCAACATTGTGTATAAAAATCGAACAGGCTCTGTGCAACATCACCCACCTCTCAAGACAGTTTACACTTCCTTCTGCTGGCCAGGTAGAGATGCAACTGTTTACTGTAATCCAACTATGTACTATGTGGCAAGGCTCAGTCTACCTCTGATATATGCCTGAAAGTTTTTTTTTTTTTTTTTTTTGAGACGGAGTTTTGCTCTTGTTACCCAGGCTGCAGTGCAATGGCGCGATCTCGGCTCACCGCAACCTCCGCCTCCTGGGTTCAGGCAATTCTCCTGCCTCAGCCTCCTGAGTCGCTGGGATTACAGGCATGCGCCACCATGCCCAGCTAATTTTTTGTATTTTTAGTAGAGACGGGGTTTCACCGTGTTGACCAGGATGGTCTCGATCTCTTGACCTCGTGATCCACCCGCCTCGGCCTCCCAAAGTGCTGGGATTACAGGTTTGAGCCACCGCGCCCGGCCAAGTTTGTTGTTTTTTAATGAGAGCCTTATGTAATCTCTATAATATCTCTTATTGTTGTGTCCGAATTTCTAATTTTGTTTCCCAAGACTACTCTGCTCTGTTATTCAGATACTGTTTTGTGTTTAGCTTCCCCTACCACTTTGTATGTAGCAGTAACCATGAGGAGAAAAAAATGCTACATGCTTGACACTCCCTTGCTAAGATAAAAGTTCTAGTACTTTTACTCCGGGTTCCTGCATATGCCCAGAATTGGAAAGTCGTATATTTTCATTTATAAAGGACTAAAATATGCAATACATATGTTCTGTGATAGCACAGCATTTATTGCCAAAGAACTTGAGAGAAGCAAACACCTAGAAAAGCCTTATTGAGGAAGTAGATGTTCTGCTTAGTTGCAACTGGATAGAGAATACATGCCAAATTGTGCAGACTGAGAAGAGCTACATCATTTAAAAAGGAGTTTTCTGACTTAGTCTGGATTCCTCTTAAAATAGATTCTAGGACAATGATCTACGGTGCAAGCTTTTTTTTTTTTTTTTTTAAATTTGGGATGTGACCCAAGGGATCATGAATAGGAAAGTGGATAGGAGAAGTAAACCAATATAGGGTGTGTAAATCAGCAGGGTACTACTATAGAACCCGAGGTTCACCCTCCCTAGGCTCTTCCGGGAGACTGTGTTAGCATGCCTCAGAGTTGTGCCCCCTAAGTAGTTAAAAGATGGAGGATGTGTTTCCCAGCATGGTTAACTTTCTGGCACTTCCAATCAGCCCTGTGCAAACACTGACTTTACTGTTGTGGTCAGAGAAAACCCTTTGTTGGTGGACACAGATACTTGTCCTTAGAAGCCGCCAGAATGTACGAGAACTTCGGGTAACAAAGGAATAGGCAAGGCACTTACTTGCTACAATATTCCAGATGACATGAAGGCTACCTTGAGGGTTTTCTACTGGCTAATCATACAAGAAGTGAAATGAATGGCGTAGTATGTTTCCAGTAGTAGTAGAAATAAAAATAAGTGTTCGGGGATAGATACACTAAAAGTAATGTAGGGAAAAGAGTAAATTGGATGATGTACAGAGACCAAAATTTTATGTAAAATCACAGGGTTTTGAAAAAGTTTAAATTACAGATGAAGAAATTTGGGTAGTAACCTGTGTACAACAGGGCATAATTGAGTTATTGATATTTTGTGAGGTATAACAAAAATATTTGTTTGGAAAAATAATGTCAAGAGTAAGAAAAGGAGAATGGAGAGATGGGCATTAGCATTGTAGAAATGTATTAGCTGGTATCTTAGTTCATTTAGGCCGCTGAAACAAAATATAACAAGCTGGGTGTCTTCTAAACAACAGGAATTTATTTCTCACAGTGCTGGATACTGGAAAGTCTAAAATCAAGAGGCCTTCAGAGTCAGTGTCTGGTGAGGGCTCACTTACTGGTACACAGAAGGCCTCTTTTCCTCTGTCTTCACATGGCAGAAGGAACGAGCTAGCTTTCTGGGGTCTCTTTCATAAAGGTTCCAATCCCATTCACAATCTACTCTCGTGACCTGATCACCTTCCAAAGGCTCCACTTCCTAATACTATCAGCTTGAGATTTAGAGTTTCAACATAGGAATCTGGGGGATGACACAAACATTCAGACCATAGCAACTGGTTAGTCAAATATTTTAGAAGTGAAAATACTGAAATGCTGTAAAAATAAAATGAACAGATAGAGAAAATATGAATGAAGAAGGAATGGAAGGTCTCATTATGGAGGATGGTGAAAGAGATTATGGTCCCTGATAAAAGTTATAGTGAAGCCAGCAACAAAGCTGAAGAAACTTAATGGATAAAGATTTGTTTGAAAAGAGTCAGTCCAATGAATCATCACTGAAAGCTTATTATCGTCCAGACATAGCTAGCTGTAATAGTTTTCCTTTATCAGGGGATACATTACAAGATCAACAGTGGATGCCTGAAACCTAAATAGTTTCAGGATAGTGCAAAACTCTAAATATACTGGGCTTTTTTCCTATACCTATGATAAAGTTTAATTTATAAGTTATGCACAGTAAGAGAATAGCAACAATTAATATAATTGTTATATAATAACTAATAATATAAAAGAACAATTATAACAATAGAACAACATTGCAACTCTTGTACTTGGGGGCATTGTTAAGAGCAACAAGGGCTACTTGAACACAAACACTGTGCTGTCTCAACAGTCATCTGGTAACCCACATGGCTACTAAATGACTAATGTGCAGGTAGAGTATAAAGTGCAAAGACACTAGACAAAGGGATGATTCACATCACAACTGGATGGAGGAGGTGGCATGAGGTATCATCATGCTAATTAGAATGGCACACAAGTTAAAACTTATGAATTATTTCCAGAATTTTCTATATATTTTCAGACAATGGTTGACCTCAGACAACTGAAAGCATGGAAAGTACAACTGTAGATTAGGGACCAATACTATACTGATATTTGTATGATATATAGAAACTATCTTGATTATACAAAGTTTGCAATCTTTTTGGAGAAATGACATTTATTAGAATTTTTCCATATGTTGGTGTAATTACAAAGAGAAAGAGAGAACAGAAAGTACAGCAGACATCTCCCAAGCTAGAAATTCTCAGGATAATTTATACAATTGTAGATTGTTAAAATTTTACATTGTTATAATTGTTATACAATTATACAATTTTACATTGTTATAATTGTTATACAATTATACAATTTTACATTGTTACAATTGTTACAATGGCATATAAGCTTTTTTTTTTTAGATCACTTACTTACTCAACTGGTTTTCTAGCACATTTGGCTGGAAATCCAAGTTGTTGGCTTTTTTTCCCCTGTTTTTGGCACTCAGGTACTTGTTCAGTTTTGCTCTAACCTTCAGTTTACTGTGCAATAAATTTTCTTATGTCAACATTATTGGGGACAATATACAGCATTTATCTTGTACTCTGTAAGGTTGACTTAGTTCTTGTCCTTTCTCACCTACTCTGTTCAAAGTTTTTAGTACACCTTTTATGTGACTATCTGTTGATACTTTTCTTAAGTTATAGAATGCATTCCAATCAATGCCAGACCCATGATGCTTACAGCAACATCTCTGCCTATGAACCCTGGCCAGATGGTGCTGGCTGGACGGGCTTATGTTTTCTGACACTGGCATATGCTTCAGTTCCTTATTTCTGTGCCCAACTTTGTCTTCTGTTTCTCTGACATAAAGACTTTTTTGTTTTCTTTGTGAAGATTAGGCACCGAAAGTTTAATAAACAGAGATTGCTGGTCACTCTTCATCCCCTTACTTGAATTTTTAAAAAGTACAGGAAAGGACTCAATGTATAAATCTAAAAATATTCAGGCAATGCAATAAATTAAACATTAAATCAATTAAATTTAGCATGGGTTCCTCACTCATGCACATAATCCACAACACACCCACACCCCCCCCACACACACACAGAAAAATAATTATTAGGCAGGATGATTCTTACAGAAAAAGAAAAGTGGGATTAATTGAGCAATGATCATAATTTGGAGTAACTGAAGCTTACAAGACATATGGTGGAACTTCACTAAGGACAAGACAGGAAGATCTTTACAATATAAAGGTGGCAGTAGTTTCCAAAATGTGGGGGAAATTTGAGGCAATAGTTTATTTAACATTAGTAACTTCTCACTGATATGGTTTAGCTCTGTGTCCCCACACAAATCTCATCTTGTAGCTCCCATAATTCTCACATGTTGTGGAAGAGAACTGGTGGGAAATGATTGAATTAGAGGGTGGGTTTTTCCTGCATTGTTCTCATGATAGTGAATGGGTCTCACCAGGTCTGATGGCTTTAAAAACGGGAGTTGCTCTGCACGAGCTCTCTTTTTGCCTGCTGCCATCCACATAAGATGTAACTTACTCCTCCTTGCTTTCTGCCATGATTGCATGTGGAACTGTAAGTCCAATAAACCTTTCTTTTGTAAATTGCCCAGTCTCAGGTATATCTTTATCAGCAGCATGAAAACAGTCCAACACAGTAAATTGGTATCAGGAGTGGGGTGCTGATGAAAAGGTACCAGAAAGTGTGGAAGACACTTTGGAACTGGGTAACAGGCAAGGGTTAGAACAGTTGGGAGGGCTCAGAAGAAGATAAGAAAATGTGGGAAAGTTTGGAACTCCTGAGACACTTGTTGAATGAGTTTAACCAAAAGGCTTATAATGATATGAACAATGAAATCTAGGCTGAGGTGGTCTCAGATGGAGATGAGAAACTTGTTGGGAACTGGAGCAAAGGTGACTCTTGTTACATTTTAGCAAAGAGACTGGCAGCATTTTGACCTTGTCTTAGAGATTTGTGGAACTTTAAGAATGATTTAGGGTATCTGGTTGAAGAAATTTCTAAGCAGCAAAGCACTCAATAGGTGACTTGGGTGCTATTAAAGGGATTCAGTTTCAAAAGGAAAACAGAGAATAAAACTTTGGGAAATTTGCAGCCTGACAATGCAATAGAAAAGAAAATCTTATTTTCTGAGGAGAAATTCAAGCTGGCTGCAGAAATTTACATAAGTAATAAGGAGCTGAATGATAAAACCACCAAGACAAAGAGGAAAATGTCTCCAAGGCATGTCAGAGGCCTTTGTGGCAGCCATTCCCAGCACAGGCCTAGAGGCCTAGGGAAAAAAAAAGTGGTTTCGTCAGCCAAGCCCAGGGTCCAGTGCTGTGTGCAGCCTAGGGACTTGGCACCTGCATCTCAGCCATGCCAGCCATTTCTGAAAGGGGCCAACATAGAGCTCAGGCCATGACTTCAGAGGGTGCAAGCCCCAAGCTTTGGCAGCTTCCACGTGGTGTTGAGCCTGTGAGTGCACAGAAGTCAAGAAATGAGGTTTGGGAACCTCCGTCTAGATTTCAGAAGATGTATGGAAACATCTGGATGCCCAGGCCGAAGTTTGCTGCAGGAGTAGGGTCCTCATGGAGAACCTCTGCTAGGGAAGTGCAGAAGAGAAATGTGGAGTGGGAGCCCCTACACAGAGTCTCCACTGGGGCACTGAGTAGTGGAGCTATTATAAAAGGGCCACCATCCTCCAGACCCCATAAAGGTAGATCCACTGAATGCTTGCATTGTGTGCTAGGAAAAGCCATAGACACTGAACAACACTCCATGAAGGCAGCTGGGAGGGAGACTGTACCCTGCAATGTCAGAGGGGTGGAGCTGCCTAAGATGATGAGAAACTACCTCTTGCCTCAAGGTGAACTAGATATGAGACATGTAGTCACAAGAGATCATTTTTGGGCCTTTAAGACTTGACTGCCCTGCTGGATTTTGGACTTGCATGGGGCCTGTATCTCCTTCATTTTGCCCAATTACTCTGACTTGGAATGGCTGTATTTACCCAATTATTGTACCCCAATTGCATCTAGGAAGTAACTAACTTGCTTTTGATATTGCATGCTCATAGGCAGAAGAGACTTGCTTGGTCTTGGATGACACTTTGAACAATAGACTTTTGAGGTAATGCTGAAATGAGTTGAGATTTTAGGGGACTATTAGGAAGGCATGATTAATTTTGAAATGTGAAGATATGAGATTTGGGAGGGCCCATGGTTAGATTTCCCCAACCAAATCTCATCTTGTAGTTCCCATAATTCCCATGTGTTGTGGGAGGGACCTAGTGGGAGATGACTGAATTCTGGGAGTGTGTGTTTTCCATGCTGTTCTTGTGATAGTGAATGGGTCTCACAAGATCTGATGGTTTTAAAACTGGGAGTTGCCCTGCACACACTCTCTTTTTGCCTGCTGCCATCCATGTGAGATGGGACTTGCTCCTCCTTCCCTTCTACCATGATTGTGAGGCCTTCCCAGCCATGTGGAACCGTAAGTCCAATAAATCTCTTTCTTTTGTAAATTGCCCAGTCTCAGGTATGTCTTTATCAGCAGGATGAAAATGGACTAATACACTCACTCTCTCTTAAAAATTAAAAATTCAAACATCAGAAATGCTACTTCCAAATATAAAAGTAAGAGGAATGAAAAATAAAGGATCAATAAAATAAAATAAAGTGTAGGTAAGTTAACTGTTGAGGGAGAAAAATGTGAAGATATGAGATTTGGGAGGGGTCAGAACTGAGGTCTGGTGAGACCTCAGTTCTCACCAGAATCACTCCTGCTAATTTGGAAATGTCAGGGTGTTCTGCAGAAGTCTCACCACCAAGGGAATCAAGACTTCTGTAACTTCTTATCCTGTTTTGGATTGGCCTTCTACTCTATTTCACTGTCTTTGCCTCTCCTCAGAAAGGAAGTCATCAGAGTCTACCCTTTGTATCTGGCAAATTGGGTAAAGCATTAAAGAAAATAAAGAAAGTGGCTCATTTAAGAAGAAGAAAAATTGTTAGAGAGAATCTGCATATTGAAGTAAGAAGAAAATGGTGATGCTTTAGAATTTTAAGAAAATCAATAAAAATAAATTGTGTGACCAACAATCAAAGGATAAAAGCCACTAAAACAAAAAATATTAAGTCAAAATACAGACAATGATATTGAGCTTTTCTGGCCATGTCATTAATTCTATTAGGAAAGAAGAAAAAATGCTGCTATTGGCACATGACTAAAGATAGCTTGGCTGAGATGGCATTGTATGTGACAATTACACAATGTAGATTTATTAAAAATGAAATCGTGGGAGTCACTTATCAGTTCAGGAAAGCTCCCTTGGAAGTTAGATGATGGTACTGATTTTAATTAACACCAATATCTGTCATTTTTTCTTCCTATATTTCATATGGCCTTTCCTCTCAAATGTCTTTTTATTTCATAATTTTAGGGGCACAGATTAGTAAAAACCTGAATGCTGCTATGCTGCTGCAAAGATACTAAGAGAGGAATCACAACCGATAGAAAAGATTTTGTAATCATTTTAAACTCGTGAGCTGGTAACTGAATAACTGTGATGACAAAAGCTAACAATGGATGATAATTGAAGAAGATGGTTCCAAGAAATAACAGCCTATGTTTCAATCTGACCCTTAGTGAATACATTATATGGGGTAACGTCAGTGTGAAGCCATAGGCAATCTCCACAATGTTTCCACCATTGTTGGCACATCTCATTTGGGCTTGGTTCCACCACATAAAATTATTGCAGCTAAAAAAGTAAAACATTTGAAGGAGGCCAGTTTTCTTCCTTCTACTCCCAGTAGAACTGATGTATGGCACTTTCTGGATATTTTAGGGGAAAATTAATGGATGAAAATGGAATCAGTGAGCTAAGACTTGGAAATATTCTTAATTCATAAAGAAATCACCCTAGAGTATAATAAACATTGTGCCAGGTACCAAGTAGACAGCTATGACTAATTGTGCTTAGAAACTCACATATACATGAAAAAATATAACACACAGTGATATAAGGAAGGTATAAACAAGGAGCCATAGGAATACCAGAAATTGATTCCCTCAAAGAAGTTAGTTTGTAAAATAAACTTTGTATTATATAAAATTTGATTTGTATTTGCCATTTAACCTCATTTAGTTCTAAATTTCTCCCATGCAAAGTGGGAGTAATATTAGTAATTGCCTAACTTTCACACAGGATTTGCAAATAAGACGAAAATTGAAAATTCTTTATAACGTGGAAAGAACTATATGCATTTCCAATTGTATTCACACATCTTTCTAACAAAGAAATCATTTATTTTGTTCTCAAGTAGGATTATGAAACGATGTGGAGGAGAATATGAAATAATTTGGGGATAATGTGCATCAATGAATGCTTGTTACGGTTTTATTTTTCCCATTAGTGTTTTCTTTTTTTTTCTTTTTTCTTTCTCTCCCTCCCTCTCTCTCTCTCTCCATAAATATATATATAAAATTGCATTTCAGGTTCTGGGGTACATGAGAATAACATGCAGGATTGTTGCATAGGTACTTACATGGCAGTGTGGTTTGCTGCCTTCATCCCGCT